CAAGGAATGATGAAATTCGATATTAATGATCCACAACATGCATTTTATTTAAATAATCAGTCAGTTGATTGTTTGTTTGCATTTGGAGGTGATGGAAATTGTTTAAAGGATATTGCTGTTAAGAAAGAAGATAATAAAACAAAATCATGTTGTGATCCGTATTCATTTTCATATAAAGGAATAACAAATGCACTTTGTGGAAAAGAATATCCAGAACATTTCACACCACAACGAATTATTGTAATTGAAATGAAATGATTTTTATTCATTATTATTTATTTGAAATATAAAAACTAAAAAAGAATATAAAATAAAATCAATAAATGAATATGAACATTTCATTTATCAATAAATGAAATGATGAATATAAAAATGGACATATTTCATTCTTGTTTTATTTTATTTGAAGTATTCATATTCAATGTGTTAATTTAATAAATAATAAAAAGAAATAAGAATAAAAGATAAATAAAAATATAATAAAATATTTATTTGATTCTTTTTTATTTATTTTTTATTTTATTTATATTATTTTATATTTATTTATTTTATTCTTATTCTTTTATCTTTATATCTATTATATATTTCTTATTTTATTATTTATGTTATATTCTTATATCTTTTTATTCTTATTTTATATTTATTCATTATTATTCATTTCATATTAACAATGTTAAATATCAATACAACATATAATAAATAAATGATATAAGATAATCAACAATAAATAATAATAATAAAATATAAACAAACAATATAAACAAATATAAAATAATAAAAAGATCATCTAATATAAAATAATAACAACAAAGAATAATAATAAGAAATAAATGATGATTAGAAAAGAAAAAATTAACAAAAAGAAGAAATGAGTGATGTTATTCAAAGATAAAAATCAATATAAAATATAAAATCAGATATAATAAATAATAAGAATAAGAATGATTATATCTTATTTTATTATTATATTCTTCTTTATATTCTCTTATTTTTTTATATTTTTTTATTGTTAATTTTATACAATTATCAAATATAAGAAAACAATATATGAAACAGTGTTCCAATACAATGACATCACTATGATATGGAACAACAAATAATATCAAAACGTGATTGACAATGACACAAAATATCAGATATA